AGAGCCAACATATTAAACGATTAAATTTTGTAAACTTTTTATTTTTTTAATACTTCGTAAAATACTTCCACTCTTACTACATTTGCGAATAATTATGTAACTCTCAAACATGTAAACTCAAATGTAACTATTAGAAAGCCTGCTAAAAAACAAACAGTTTACAAGCAGGGTTAGATAAAAATGAATGAATGAAATATTGAACAATGTGTGAAATTTGAATTTGCTTGTGTTCTGTTAAAGAAAGAACAATATTTTTATAAAAATAACCAAAATTAAATCACAAAAAAAATTTTAGTTTAAATCTTGTCAAACTATGGTGCGGCAATAATTTTTTCGACCACTGTATGTAAACAACTGACAAGAAAATATATCAAAAATTCAACGCCTGAAGGAAAGCTTTCGACTCACATATAGACAGAGTGAAGTCCCCCGCTGAATGCCGTAGCTTTTTGAACGAGAACGTACGTATTTACGTAGAATTCTATTCATATATCGATGGATGAGTGGAAGATCGACCTATCTCGGCAGCCAGTTCGAAAACGCCCTATCTCAGAAAATTTTTCAAGAACGTCCGGAAAATTTATGTTAATTGAAAAGCTGACGAACAGACAGGGAAAGGTAGGACCACCCAAAACCTTACAGGAAAGGACACGGTGGATATACTTAGCAATAGCCACTTTCAGTTTGTTAAAGAACACACCATTCTAGTAGCCAAGGAACGCTGGAACAACTTTCGCTTTGCGAAACATTCAGGATTACCTGGTCTTTCTATATAAGGGTCCACTTACTAATGTGGAATCAGAACCAATATTGACCTATTTGACATGTAAGACCGAATCGAAAAAATTACCAAATTGAAAAATAAATTACCAAATTACCAAACTTGACAAATAAAGAAAAAAATTACCAATTTTGGTTAAAAATTACCAAAGCGGCAACGCTGATTGTGGAACATTTGTATGAACTGCTTCGGCTAATACTTCGGCTTTTGTTCTCTTTTTATATCGAGGCTAAGTGCATTGTTCGATGGGGTGATATCATTGCCAAACATGATAGTACTTTGTTTGCCATCAATTAACACTAACTTGACGGAGTTACAGTATTCTACATTGATGCGAGCCTCAAAAGCTTAGAATAATAATTGCGAGTATGGCGTTTAGTTTTTACCGCTCAGGTAGGTGACAGGCCTATAGAAAATATTTCTTAATCAATAATTTTTCAAATACTTTTCGTTTGACACCTATATTATTATACATACTTTATCTTTTTAACTTTATTGAATTAAATTTTCGAATTTGGTAGCAACTCGACTCAAAAATATTTTCAGTAGTAAGCCTTCTTAAACCTTTTTAATTTGATACCCATATTGCAATATTTAATTTATCTTACCAATTTAATTAAATTAAATTTTGAAACAAGTGGCAACCCCTCTCAAAAATATTTTCGGCTGTAAGCCTTCATAACCTCTTTCTTTTGACACCAATATTGCAATATCTAATTTATGTCATTAATTTACTTATACTGAAATTTTTAAACAGGTGGCAACTCTCTATTTTTTTCTCGTTTTAACCATCCGGATATTATAAAAAACAAACCAAAAAAATAAAAATATTCAAATCGGTCAAGCCGTTTTCGAGTCTTAGCGAGGCTAACGGACAGCAATTCATTTTTGTATATAGATATCTTCTTTTAAAAATGCGCAGGCTCGAAATTGACTTTAGAGCTATGGTCTGGAGGAATTTTTTTCTTAGAATTTTCTGAAGAATCCGAATATGCTAGGAAAAATGTCGAAAAAGTTAATCCATACAAATTGACCCGCCCTAGTATACATAAATGATCAGAATGAAAAGAGAAATCGATTAAGCGGTGACTGTCTCTCCGTCCGTCCGTCCGTCCGTCCGTCTGTGCACACGATAACTCGAGTAAAACTTGAGATATCTTAACGAAACTTGGTACATGAACTTCTTTTGGGCGTAGGACGGATGGTATTGAAAATGGATGAAATCGGACAATAACCACGCCTACCTACCATATAACGGTAATTTTAAGAAATACGAAAACTGCGATATTTTAGTAACTACTGAAGATGATTCACTCAAAATTGATACTTACAATGAGTTTCAGACGGAAAACATGAATATTGTAAATTTTTGGAAAATGGGCGTAGCCACGCCCACTTATGGTTACATGTGTATATCTTGG